ACACAAATTTGATACCTTCTCTCACTTTTAACAATGCAAACAATGAATGGAACAGTCTGTTATTCAGAACAAAATTTCATTCTTATAATCTGGAATTTCACTAATGTTTATTCGTAATTTCGGGCAGTATGATTTTCAGTGAATTTCAAAGAATTTGCCAAATGAACATACCGCTTCATCGATGAGTGTTTTTTGCTCCTTCAGTTTACGCTGCAGTTTTTCGGAGGTTTCACGCAATCTATTGATGCCATTCTCATTTTCCTGAATCTCAAATTGCAACTGCTTCGACTTACGTTCGCATTTCGCAATCGTCTTTGCGACCTGTTGATATTTTTGTTTTTCCAGTTCAATTTCAGCCGTTAGCGTTTTATAGCGATACTCGAGCTTAGCCAGAAGTGTACCGCTACCCTTCGTAGAGCGTAGAATTGTCATTTCAGACAGATCAATTTTGGATTGTAGTTCTCTGATTTGAACTTCAAGCGCTTTTTTGAGTTGATCAGTTTGTTCAGATTGCTTTTGTTGTTGGGCCAGTAACTCGCTGAAACGCGCACCATCAGCTCTGATTTGTTTCGAGCGTTCTTCACAGGTTTTCAGTTCGTTGAATGCTTCATCCAGTTGAGTCTAAAAATGACGTTCACAAATACACATCATAACTCATGTTTCGCTTCTACAGGGACGATGCCCTGGTGAGTAGATCCGGTGCAAATTACTGCTGTGAGGCAATCGGAATAGGAGTAAGAAAATGTTCTTCCAATATGATATCGTAATGTTGTACTTTTTTAAAGGGCAGGACGAGCTGTCTTAACGTGTCTTAACGCTTGAAAGGTGTTGAGGAGGTGATTAACCAGTGATTTATCCGCCTATGACCACAAATTACTCAATTGCTTACCGCAGCTATCAGTTTGTCGGCTTCAAGCTTCTTCAGTGCCAGACTTATATCGTTGCTTTTTGCAGACAAGTCAGCATTATGTTCGTTCATTTCTTGTATCTCATTTCCGAACTGTTTCAAAGAATTCTTCATCTGAAAACAATCCGCAAATCGATGACTGCAACTATTGCTTCGTTATTTACAAAGATACAATCGTGAATGTTGAATACAATTTCCAAAATGCATTAAATCCATCCATTTAAAGAAGAATGCTGTCTAACTAAGAATGTGATTAAGACTTATTGTCAATAAACAGTTCTTATAACCGATAAATTCTGTGACGCGATCCTACAGAATCCATCTCTTTCCTAATCGAACGTTCACGATAGTAACCTGGTCCGCCTTTTTATTTAAATCCTCTTTCTCAGACTCAATGGCTGCTACNCAGTGCACTCTGCAGTTCACTGATTTGACTAATGTATTTCGCAATATTCCCCTGTGCCTCCTCATTCGCCTCGTTAGCATGTGTAAGTGCCAGCTGTAATTCCTGAAACAAAACTGTTACAATAAGACAGATTGAATGTTGAATGAATCGGCTAAGGGCATGAAAATTTATGAAGAAACCCACGAATAATCATATCATAAAAGTCACGCTGAGTGTGACAATTTTGATTTGAAATTCACAACTGCTTCAACAGATTGTACCTAGCCACATTATTGCGTGAAATCATTTCCAGACAAAGTATCACGTCAATTAACACCTAGAAATTCAAGTATGGTTAGATAATTTGCAATCTGAATTCTTCATACTAGTTTAATTACTGCGCCAAAGTGATCAGTTCTGCGGAACACATGGAATTACATTCGAATATAAATAAAATATCCAAGCTCACGTTAACATCCAATTGAAGCTTTGTTTTCGTACGGTTTAATTCAGCTTTTTCATTTTTGATCGCCTCTAATGATTCCTACAAGAAGCGATCATTCACAATTTTGCATTCGTCAACGGAGTCGTCGTCCTGTCAATGTTCTCATCAAACGAATAAAATATTCCAACATGATACATCAACAAACTGACAATTTCTTTTAATAAAACAACTTGAACTAATCAAAATACCTGCACGCTCTGAATCGCTCGCTGATGAGTGACTTTCATGTTTTCCGTCTGTTCATCCTTATGCACCAATCTGTCGTCAGCATCTTCTTTGAGTTTGCTCATTTCATTTCGTAAGTTCTCCAGTTTTCCTTGCTCCATCTCCAACAACGTTTCTGTTTGATCGATCGTTTGTTGCAGTTCGTGCTTGTCCATGTCTAAATTTCTCGTTAGTTTCCTCGTTTCATGCAGCATTTTCGATGCTTCCACTAACTGTTCACCTAGCTCGTTGTTCTCCTTTTGTAGCTGCTGATTTTCGTGTTCAATTGATTGCATATCCGTTATCAGTTTATCGTATGTCGTTTGTTCACCATATAAATCAGCACTTTGAATTTGTGCATTGCGTTGTGCTTCATCCAGCAATTGACTCACTTCACTGACCTTTCTTTTCCACTCATTCAACTCTGCATTCAGTTGATTTGATCGCCTTTCTGACTGCGCTATAATCGCCTTGTAACGATCCACTTCCTTCTTGATATCCTCTGATTCACACAACATTCTCATTCTGTCCTTTTCCGCGTTAACGATTCGAAAATTCGCGTCTTCGACTCTTTTACGTAATTCTTCTATTTGTTCGCTATACTGCCGTTTCAAACTTTCAACTGTATCATTTGAAACCAATGTATTGATTTCATTGAAGCGACCTTTATAATGCCCGAGTTCAGCGTTCATTTCGGCTAGCTTTCGACGTGCCTCATCCGTACTTCTCATCTCATCCTCCAGTGTTGCTTGTAGTCGAAGTTTCTCGGATTCTAGATTTTTGATTTGCGAACTGACAGCTTGTCGTTTGCCACTCTCGTCCGTGCGTATTCCACTCACTTCGTTCAATTGCTTCACCACGTATGTCTTCGCCAGTAACATTTCAGCCAGTTCTTGCTCTAGTTCTTTTTGGCGTGACCTCAGCTCACCGATTTCCGTGGTTACTTGACGATTCACTGAATTCAATGCTTCCAAGTCCTGCTGTTGCTCGACACTCTTTGTGCGAAGCTCAGAGATCGCCTCTTGCGAAGGTTCCAGTGTTTTTTCAGCATCCGTTTTCGCCTTGGTAGTTTCTTCCAGTTCCTTTGTACTTTTTGCGATCTGTTTCCGTAATTGACGGTTCTCTTGACTACATTTGTCAACGTACCTTTTCAGTGCCGCAATTTGATCATTCAATTCATCATTCGCCGTTTGACTTTTGAATTTTGTTGAGCGGATTTCGGATTGATGAGAGGCGTTTGATTCCTGGAATCGACGTCTTAGTTGAGCGATTTCAACGTCCAGTCGTTTACCTCTCTCTTGTTGCGTTTGATTCGCGCTGGTCTGTTGATCAAGTTGAGCGCAAAGTTCATCGATTTCGGATTGCTTCTGAGCACAACTCGACTCGATGCTCAATCGCGCCTCGTGCACACTTCGAAGTTCCTCTCCAGTATCTGCAACATGTGCATCCGCACGTTCCAGTTCCTTTGCTAATTTCCTCTGAAGTGCTCGTCGATCGTCAACATCTCTCCGCGCATCACGTAATGCCGTCTCTTTTCGTCGCAACGCACCCACCAAATCCTCCTTCTCCTTACTAACTTCTTTCAAATTCTCATCTTCCACTTTCAATTCACCTTCCAGTTTCCTTTTAGCTCTTTCCGTATCGGCGGTGGCTGTTTTCTGAGCATCCAACGACCTTTCAGCAGCGCTAATAGCGCTCATTAGCCTTGACTGAACGTTTTGCAGGTCTGCATTATGTTTTTTGGCTGTTTCGAGTTGTTGTACGATTTGTTGATTGAGTTGTTGTTGTTGATTAGATTGTTTGCTGAGTTTTGTGAGGTTTTGTTTCTGAAGTGCAATCTCGTTGCTGAGTGAGCGTATCTGATTCGTTAGCGACATTTGTTCAGCGTTCATTTTGCTTTTCGTTAACTCAGTATTCTGTAAAGCTGATTGCATTGAGTGCAGCTCTTTTGCTAGTTTGCTAACGGCTTCACATTCGGCATCCGTTTTTCGTTTCTCGTCGTTCAGTTTCGCTTCTGACTCATTGATTTGTATCTCAATAATGGATTGTTGCTCTAACATTTTTTGCATCTCGTGTTCCACTTCTACGTTACCACTCGCTGAATTGCGCACTTCTTCGGCAATTCGTTCATTTTCGTCGCAAATCGCCTTCAACTGTTGCTCAAGCGCATCACGTTTTTGCTGTCGTCCAGCGAGTTTCTGCTCGAATTCGCCAATGTTCGAACGAAGCGTGTCGAGAATTTCCCCACGTTTCGCCTCTTGAATGATTGGTATCGTATCGACGTACAATCGGAACCAACTCCAACCGATCACACCAGCCCATTGGCCAACATTACGTTGAATAATCAGTGCAGCCGCGAAACGTTTTTCACGTTCTTTCAAATCGATCTGAAACTCGAAGATGTTTGCTAATTTGGTTCTTCCTTTCGGAGCATCACGAACTTAACAAAGAAATTTGTGCTTTCCTTTTCAAAACAACATGCCAATACTATTACTCACGGCTAGAATAAAGTTATCAATAGTCTGGTATTGCTGATAAACTGATACGACTAATATTGTGCTAACCTAATGACACTATTGACAGGGAACTATTCTAGTTGATAATAATAATGAAGGAATATTATTGCTAAGAGTATGATGAATTCTTTTATTGTAAAACCTCATGTGGACACAATTCACCGATCTCAAGTCGATTTTACACAATGGCCAACAAACAGTGAATTGGTTACAGCAATAATCGTCATTGAGCGATAATTACTCTGTAAGGGATGGAAACTACGGTCACGTCTCTACTATTAATGAGACTAACCAATGCAAAGAAGTATCGTATTTGGGCTTGAAAACCTGAAATCAATTGCGTGAGTTTTGCATCTCGAAGATCCTCCAGATGAGCCAGAACACCTGCTTTGAAGAAAACCTGGAAGAGCGATAGTTATTGGATGCCGACAATTTTGTAGATAGTTTGTTACAGCAGGTTGTTTAGCCACTTAGCCACCAGAAATTTCTTAAGAAATTTTCTGTTACCCTCTGACGAACCATTCAAAAACCCGGTTGACCAATTCAGCATGTTCCGCGGTATTCAGAAAGACATTGTGAGTTTAAGAGCGTCGAATGCAATAATGAGCGGGTAGCCAAATTTCCAGGCAGGTTAAAGGAAATGAAATCGTGTTTGGATTCTCTGGTTTTTGAATAAGTAATCTTTCTAATGGTCTAGAATGTTTCGTGATTGCCCAGTGACTGGAGAGGGTCTTTTTCGAGCAGTCCGTATTCTGATGTTTAAGCAGCACTTCCGGAAAATTGTGTGATCATATGATGGAATGTGACTGAGCTATTACAAAAGATCGCTCATTTGCGAGTTTCTGATCTGATCGTGCAGAAATAATTATTACGTAAATAGTTGCGTCTGAAAATTATTTTTAAGGAATGCTAAATGTTTGTTACCTTCGATAATCCAACTTTGAACATGTCTTCATTCATTGAGCCTTCCACACATAATCTTTTCAACATATTCATCGCACATTCTTTCGGATCTTGACTAGATTTTGACTCATCTGCGCCAAGAATTGAATAACGCTGCACAAAATCTGGGTGAGCAGTTCTGTTGGGAAATCCTTTACGGCAGATACGAATCCCTTCCAGTACACCGTTACAGGTG